AGGATAGCTTCATGATGGTATTCAAAACAAGACATTTAGAGTTATTACTTGCCTCTCAAATAATGGCAAACACTATAAATACAAGAACTCAAAAGCTATAGCACATAAGAAATACTTAAATCAAGCCTAAACACAAAGCTAAAAATGTTGCAATAAAATACAGCATAAAGCTTCCTTACACTATGAGCTTCCAGCAAAGTCGATCTTTGTATCACCCCACACAAATTTTGTGACCAAAAAAAGATGCATCTCGCTGATAATCCAACTTAACTGATAATAACATATCATCTTATTTACAAGAAAAGCAGGAAATCTGAATGCCTACGAGCAGGTTAATCCCATTTTTAAAAACTGTACCGTAGAATAGCAATAACGCATCAGTAAAGCAGATTAAGAATCATCTGACCAACAAATCTCAAAACAAAGTAACCAAAGGGAAATGACTGCTGATTGGAAAGGCTCCTGGCTGGATTTATGGAGTGTAAACAGGCATATTTACTAATAAGTAAATACAAATTTACTGCAAAACAAATTTGCAGACAGCCAAAGGTTAGTAAGAGTGACAAATGAGGACAGTAAAAAGTCACAGGGACCCACGTGGTGTACGCCAGTAAAAACGTACACCTCAAAGGTAACAAGACGACAAATAAAAGCTACCTGAAGTTGTATTTTATAATTTCTTGTTTTGAAAACATACCTGTTATTAATAAATTTGGGTCTGAATAGAATGGAGAGGCATCTTCATAAGCAAAATAAGCAATTCCAGATATGGAAAATAATGCCCTTGGTATAGATGCAAAACTAAAATTAGCATTTTCTAGACAACATAAAACACTGAAGGAAGGAACATGTAAGTCTGAACAGTTTTGAGAAAAATACAGAATACAATCAAAGTTGGAACAGATCACTGGCACAGGGTGCCCAGCAAGGCAGTGGAGGCCCCATCCCTGGAAACCTTCAAGGCCAGGCTGGACGGGGCTCTGAGCAACCTGGTCTGGTTGAAGATGTCCCTGCTCACTGCAGAGGGGCTGGGCTAGCTGACTTCTAAATGACCCTTCCAACCCAAACCATTCTATGATTCTGTGCTTCTATGAAGCTTCAATGTTTCAAGAAATATGTTTGTAAATCAATCTGTTTTATTAATGCAAAAGTGCTGGCTTCATCTTTTGGTACTTCAGATACTGAAAGACAAGTCACAAAAAAGGTCAGTGAAAGAATTTCAACATCATGATCAGAAAAATAAACTTTAACTTCTATATGGCAAAAAATATTCTGAAAGAAAGTAAAAAGTGCACAAATCTACTGGAAAAGTGAGTATTACTTAGTCCCTGAAAGCATTGTGTGGTACCGTATGTATCATATGTGCCTGCAGTGTCTGTGAATGCTGTACTTTTATTCAGTCTAAGTCTAGGACAACAGTTAAAGTTGAGTTTTTAGAAGCGGTTTAGACTGTTAATGTTTTGCTTCAACACAGATGTTACTCGCAAGTTGAAAACACCACAAAAAAAAATACTGATAGTGTCCAACTGCGACATATCTTTGGAAACTCATGCTAACAGGGATCAAACAGGCTCTGCACAGTCAACTAAATATATTGGGAAAATATCTGTGGAAAATATCTTGATCTTGAAATTTATCTAAATACAGCAAAAGTTGATTTTTTACCTCTTTCTTTAAAGATAACTGTATATGTACCCTGAGCAAAGATTTATTTTGATTCAATACTTAAACAACACCCAAACATACTTTGTTGTATGAAATAAATACATGTACTCTAAAAAGTATAGGAACTGCTTGTTAGGAATGACTAACTTTGTCAAACATAGAAAAGACAAAACTATGAAAAATAACAAAAGTTGTTGTCCATTGAGAAAATGTGTTGATTTTAACTGCAAGTTTTAATTTAAAAAGTCCTGCAGCTCTATTTACAAATGCTATAATGAACAACAACCCCTAACACTGCTCGCTAAGAAGCTTTGGAACACAGCAGGGAAGTCCTAGGAAAAGACAATGGGAGTGGAGGTCAAAACAAAACTAAAACTGGAAATACAGGGCAATGGTCTTTATAAAAAAAAAAACAACAAAAACCCACAAAAACCAAAAACCCACCCCAAGTGAAACTAAACCAAGCAAGAAAACAAGTGGTGAATTGCTGTGGCTCATCACGTTGCTTTTCAAGAATGAACACTCTAGGAAATAGCTTTTAGATTCAGCACAGATGTAACTGTATGAAATTTCATGTCCTGAGATCCCAGTAATTTCAGCTGACCATACTGGCATTTTTGGACACTAAAATCTATCAACTGATGATTGAGGAGTGCCTTTTTTCAAATATTTCAGCTTTGTGAGCTATCACTAAAGGTGCATTTTTGCTGGTTTACTAGGAATACTTTAAAGCAGGAATATTTATTACTTGTTTGCTTGGGTCTGTGAAGAATAATTCTCTTGTCACTTCTATCAAAGGTAACAAAAAAAGCAAACAAAGCAATTCTTCCCACCTAAAATTCAACCCACCTGCTTTCTAATCAGCCTTTCAGAAACAGCTTGAGTAAACAGAAGGCTTTACTAGGTGCAGGAATATTTAACACTCCTTTTGCAGCACTAAAGTATTGTCGAAGAAGAAAATCTCAGGAGTTAAGTAATCTTGAATATAAAGGATAGTCTCAGGAAACATTTATCTAGTGACTTTCATGTTGCAAAAGTATAAAGAGTCAGTCTAAGGCAACCCAGCTAAACAAAACCTAGAATTCATCTGACAATTCAAATTTTATGGTTGGACTTGATGATCTTAAAGGTCTTTTCCAACTTCTGATTCTATGATTCTAAGAAATAAAAAGATACACAGATTAAACTCATCCTGAAGTGTGCCTATAAGAAAATCTCTAAATAATCTATGAAGAAAAAAGGAGTTTATACTGTAACAACTTACCTTTAAATATTTTTTCTAGTCTATCATCAAAATTTTGACTGAGAATGTAATAATTCATAATCATTTTTAAAAACCACTATGTAAGCAAGTAATTTCTACTTGTATAAGATGTCGCCACCATAGTTTAATGTGAAGGAATTGCTTTCACTGACATGAAGGAACAAATATCCCACTCAGCTTCTCAGTGACATATACCCACAGTACTGGACTGACAGTGTAGATTACTTACATTTATTTACGTCAATCATCTGAAAAAAAAAACAGTTTACTAAATCTACATATTTTTAAGTTACATATGATTAGGTTTGCATGACTTATCACACCTTTGACATACAGAGCCATAGATAAATCAGAAGATCACAAATTTTAGTTAACCAAGGTTTCAACTCCTTGAAAACTTCCACTATCATACTTTCACCTTGGCTCAAGCAGCACACCTGGGGTTAAAAACATTATTTAATTTATCCCTTACATTTCAAAGTGTATGTGCATTCCTCTGTGGAGGCTTGTTTCATTATTTTGGATTCTAGTGAGAAGCTCTTGTAACTCAAGAAAAAAAAAGAAATTGGAATTGGACAATGCAAAGCTAACCAGTATTGCCTGAATGCACATCATACTTGGACTCCTGCAGTGTATCTGACCATCAGATTATGTTTAAATCACAGAGTTCTACCGAAAGACATAAAACAGCAATAGAAGAGCACACACAAGATCCCAGAGTGAAGCACTAACAGCAGTATTAATTTTCCGACTCCACTTTTCACTGTATTAACTGGATGACACTGCAAATAGAAAAGAGTCTTGAAAAAGCTAGCATTTGTACCAGTGGGGTCTGAAAAGATCTAGCCAGCACTAGTCCATCTGTTCTCAGTTGCGTGACCATAAAACCAGGTTGTGTTGTGAGAACATCTAAGGAAGATTGTTCTCTTATGAATTTTTCTCCTATATGCCATATTCCAACCTAGCCATAACCCCTTCACATCCCCTACAATCGTTCACACAGACACCTTGAATAGCACTCTCTCACACATCTGCCTGTACAGCCTTATCTTTGTCCCCACTCACTAAAAGCAGCTTATGCTCCAGCCACTGCTCTATGACTTGTGCGCTCATAGGCCTGCTGGAGAAGTCACACAGACTTCTGGGCTCAGCTAACGCTTCTCCAAGAGACAGGACATTCGTAAGAGGTAGGACATTCATTTGGGGTTTTTTCCTCTTCTGTGCAGCTTTCAGTTTTCAAAGCCTTCCTGAGACCTTTAGCACGGCTCAGGCAGGCAGAAATATGCCTCATTACCTTAAATCAGGCTAAAAGAAAATTTGTTTACAGGTATCTCTGATACAAACCTATCAGAAAGTACCATATTGAAAGCCATTGAAAATACAAATTTGTAAACCATGTAAAAGATGAGTATGTTGTTTAATGTCAAAACATACACTGTGTTCAAAGAATGGCTTAATGTCATCAGCTGCTTAAATAATACTGGGATAAGTTTTTATTTCTGTGGTTGAAACCTGTAGGACTATTTGGGTAAACACAATAGTATTGCTTCCTTCTAGATGTATTTAAAATGGCAATGCTGTGATACTTTGACAGGAGCACTAAGAAAAATAATGCAGGCTGTTTTTATAATTTTATGATGTACTGCATGCTATTTTACACATTTTATAATTCTACGATGCACTACATGCTTATTCAAGTTCTTGTTCCAGGTACAACGATACAAGAGCCGTCACTCTCAAGAAAAAGCATCAGTCCTCAGCAAAAATCCATGACGTTTCAAAGACGTAGATCCAGAAGGAAGGAAAAAGGCTTACATAAATCATGTTTAGCTTTTCACAATGCTTAGCACAAGCATAATTTTAGAGGCCTGACTCCTGATAATTGATTGCTTGGTGCCAACAGTACACAAGAAAACCTGTTAACCTTACAGCTGTATATGTCCTCTATTTTAATGCTTTGAGCTTCACAACCCTCATTGTTCTTTAGCCTTTTTCTGCTTTGCCTGACCCTCAGCTACATTTATATTACCCTAAATATAGTGCACTGACAGTAGTACAAAAATCTACTTACAGGAATCATCCAGTTGGCCAGGTCACCGTACTTAGACACCTGCATAGCTCCAAGCATTGTCAAATCAACATGGCCTCTGGCAACAGAAAGTGTGTAATTAGCATATCACGTTCAAGTAACAGCCCACAAATCTTAACAAGCTTTTGTTCACATTCTCATTAGATCAATGCAAAAATGGTGGCATACCACAGAGGTAGAAACCATTTTATCACACACATAGTTGGCTTTTTCCCCCCTCTAGATGTATTGCTGATGAAAATTTTTCTGTCTGCCTACTGAGCCTCAAAAATGTTATTACTTTTGTCTGGTTTTGGTTAATTGCACACACAGTCAATCAGCTCTGAACTCATACTTTTAAGTGCACTCCTTCACGTATTTACATGCACTCATTATCTTTTTCAGAGCCATTAGGATTTTATGTTTGTTTGCATCCAGCCTCCTTCCCGAAAAACAAACAAAAAACAGGTGCAGATGGTGAATTTCCATTAAGGAGGTGGAATGAGGATCACAGTTACAAGCTGAGCAAAGAGAATAGACTGAGTGCAAGTACAGATTAGATACTTGGAAATGGCCAAAATGTAGTTGCTAAAACATAGTTATTAAATGTGTTCATATATGGCCAGGTGGTGGTAGACATGAACATCACTACGGTATCCATTAGTTACAGTGTTTTTCTGGTTCCAACAGCTACACCTAATCCTCTGTAAACTATCACTGATCAAGTCCCTGATCATTTTACAGTTTGTTCAATGCTAACTACATTTCAAAGAATTACTAATGAGTTCAGTCACTGACTCAGTTTATTCTTTTCATGTTTCAAAAGACCAGGGTTTGTGTTGTTACATACCCTCTTATCATTGCAAATGATTCATCGCTAGAGAAATATGAAGAACCTGGAAGAACAGTGACTGTCTCCTTACCTGTAAAAGAAATAAGCTGTAGTATGTATGTATTTTCTCTCTTTGACAAATGAAGTCACAGCTATTAACCAAGAAATAAGAGGGTTTTATCAAATTCCTTTGGATTTTTTACAACTACAGACCTGATTACACTTACTATGTACATGTAAACGTAATCAATCGTAATGAATTCTGAAGCAGTTTGTTACAGTTTTTAATGATAGGATTGCCCGCTCTGTGACCATCAGCAGTTCCAGGCAAAACATCACTGACATCAGAGGCTAAGAAAACTACGTGGACTTCAGCTTTCTGCTCTATCCACAGAAGCTGCGAGAGGTAACTCTCTTTTGAAACAAACAGCATTTTCAGGAGACAGGGAGGCTGCAAGGAAGAGCAAGCAGACCAGATGATTGAACAGTCTAGAGTGATAATGATGCAGAATGCTGAAAAATAAATGACAGATCTAGTGAACTCTTGTTTTGTTAAAAGTGCACAAGAAAATACGCTTCTGTGTGTTGTACTGTTCTCTGCACAGTGCTTGGGTCAAGCAATGGAGTGCACATGGAAGTGTCTGATTTTGACTCTGTCTAGAGCCCTCTTTCCTCTCCTGACAGCACTTTGAACCAGTCTAAGCAACACCCATGTGAACAGAGTGCCTCTGCAAAGGCATAAGAAACACAGCCAAAGGTGCAATTATAAATCATGGGAAACTTGAGAGAAAAAAAAGCAAACAGAATACTTCAGCACCAGATAACATTGTGAAGAAAAAGTGTAACAACAAAAGGGAAGAGGAATGAGACATCATTAAACAGTTCCAGAAAACAGGGAAAAAGAGACAATGAGATTAACTACAAGGATGGGAAAACAGAAGCAAACACTGCAGGAAAGTTAAAATAGAGACATTACCTGCTTTAATTTATTGAGTTCACTTGATGTATCTGATTTGCCAAGACATTGTATGGAAATTAAATTTTGACACACAAAATAGTATAGAAGTAAGGTCATACAAGTAGTCTTGCAGTCAGATCATAAGAATTCACCATGCTAACATCCAGACCTG